TATACATTATTCTGCCTCATAAAAAAGGAGAAATATACCTTGAAAGACGGGATTTTTTGTCTTGTGCAGACGATGAGTCACATTAACGTGACTGAAGATATGATGACGGAACCACATGCACCATGAGATGAGGAGACGACGACGTTTCGGTCCGTCCTGGACCATTATCAAGTGGTGTGATATGAGCTGTCACACCACTTGATATAATGGTCCAACACGGAGCGAAACATCGTCACTTCTCCATCCTCTGAGTTGTGGTTTCGTCAGAATTTTTCTTCTTCGTCTTCAATGACCATAGCGCTGGTAAACCAGGGGATGGAAAGTGGGTAAGATACACTGGAAATGTTGAATAAGGAAGGATTAGGGGTATAAGAAAGAGATGAGGAAGTAGCGGGAAGTAGCCCAATCACTTTCGGTTTGTTCAAGTTCAAGTTCAAGTATGTTTATTGAGCCAAGGAAAAAATTTATCTGAAAGGGATAGAGTAGCTTAGGCTATTTATACCCCCCTTTACTTTAAGTCCCTCAAGGGGCGCACAAATTCAGTGAGTACAAATAGACAAATCACAATACAAGAATCCCATTTAACATTGCAAGTTAATATAGTAAGTACAGCATATAAGTGTTACACTCTTGGGGCAAAATTCTTGTAGCTCCTAAGTATACTGTCTATCATACCATTATCACACATCCAAACAATTTGATGTGGTACACTACTTATTTCCTTATTTCTATAGTTATCAATAAGTTGACACTCTAATACATAATGTTCTATGGTGTGGGCGTGCGACATACTACATAATTTACACTCCTAATCTTTTTCACTGACATCAACACCGTATTGCCAGATACATTTGAATCCTAATCTTAATCTCATGTAAATTGAATCCTTCCTTCGGTTTGTTGGCGAGGTTGGTAGTGTGGTATGAGTTGATGTATGGGGCATGAATGTTGGTTCATCTAATGGAAGATAACATGTGCTGTACTCCCAAATGTGATGATTCTGTTCTTGTTGGCTGCCATTGGTGGCATGCTGCCTCTTCACCAGAGGCTCAGTGGTCCTGGCCTTGGCCAGAATGTTGCTCGAGTTGATTTGCACCCCTGTAACACATGTAACACATGTAACAGACGCGAAAAGGTATCCTGGGAGGAGGAGGTTGTTGGATGGGGACGTGGGAGAGGAAAGCGCTGCAGCAGGGCCCGAGGTGCTGCAGCAGGGCCCGAGGTGCTGCAGCAGGGCCCGAGGTGCTGCAGCAGGGCCCGAGGTGCTGCAGCAGGGCCCGAGGTGCTGCAGCAGGGCCCGAGGTGCTGCAGCAGGGCCCGAGGTGCTGCAGCAGGGCCCGAGGTGCTGCAGCAGGGCCCGAGGTGCTGCAGCAGGGCCCGAGGTGCTGCAGCAGGGGGCCCAGATAAAATAATAGGGGCCCAAATTGCAGCAACAGGGACCCAGGTGAGGTAATTCAGGCCCAGATGCAGCAACAGCTGGGGCTCAAATGTTGTAATTATGGCCCAGATGAAGCAACAAGGGGGTCCAGACGGAGCAGTTGCAAGGGGACCCAGATGAAGCAACATGGGGGTCCAGACGAAGCAGTTGCAAGGGGACCCAGATGAAGCAACATGGGGGTCCAGACGAAGCAGTTGCAAGGGGACCCAGATGCAGCAACAAGCCCGTGGCAAGTAACTTAAAATATTCAGCCTAGACTAAAGTAAAGCGTGAGGCTGTGGGTCCCGCAGACAGGCTCCAGTAACTTGATTACGTCACGGGGAAATTGCAAACAGGGAAACTATTTCAGTATATGAATTTTCATTTTCTATACAAAGTTTGTTGGATTTATAATGAAAGCGAAAGTTGTGGCAAACTACGGCTTGTAATTATAGGTGATGCAAGTTTCAAATTGCTGCTCCTCCCTCCTCTCAGAGTTGCATTGAAATCTTGATGAAATTGCAGCTACTGAGGGAAATTGTGACGCGTGCCGCCCGCCCTCTCCTGCCGCCCGCCGCCGCCCTCTCCTGCCGCCTGCCGCCGCCCTCTCCTGCCGCCCTCTTCTGCCGCCCTCTCTGCCGCCCTCTCCTACCACCCTCTCCTACCACCCTCTCTTACCGCCCTCTCCTACCGCCCTCTCCTACCGCCCTCTCCTGCCACCCTCTCCTGCCGCCCTCTCCTGCCGCCTGCCGCCGCCCTCTCCTGCCGCCTGCCGCCGCCCTCTCCTGCCGCCGCCCTCTCCTGCCGCCGCCCTCTCCTGCCGCCCTCTCCTGCCGCCCTCTCTGCCGCCCTCTCCTACCACCCTCTCCTACCACCCTCTCTTACCGCCCTCTCCTACCGCCCTCTCCTGCCACCCTCTCCTGCCGCCCTCTCTGCCGCCCTCTCTGCCACCCTCTCTGCCGGCCTCTCTGCCGCCCTCTCTGCCGCCCTCTCTGCCGCCCTCTCTACCGCCCTCTCCTACCGCCTATCCTCCCCTTCTGATGAACATTTACACCCTCTTTTACGTCTTGTTTCCACCCTCTCGTGCCTTCCTCTTCTGCCTTATCCATGCCCCCCACCCACTATTTCCTCCCCCCACTCACTGCTGCCTCGCCCCCACTCACTGCTGCCTCGCCCCCACCCACTGCTGCCTCGCCCCCACCCACTGCTGCCTCGCCCCCACCCACTGCTGCCGTTGGGGTCGTTGTGGTCTCCCTTCATTACAAGATCCTCTGATCAGCGCGGCCGGAGGTCCTGCCGACTCTCGCTTCCTTATTGTCCAATCAGTATAAAATAATAAATGGATATGTACAGAATATTGGTTCAGGTGATGTGGGGATCGCGCGGGGAAGGTGAGGGCGAGGTGTAGGTTGTGGCCAGTGACGGGGTGGGGCGTTAAGGGGTCGTGTGTCTGGTGATGGATTGGAGGGGGGGAGGGGGGTGAAGAGGTCGTGCTATCCTCAGGAAGGGGAGATTGGAGGGGGGCTCTCGGCGACTGGTTTCCACCCTCGCGTCTCCTTCAATCATATCGGGATCGCAAATTGCATTTCTTCATTTTTCTACCTGAGAGAGAAGAATCAAAAGAGTGGAGCGTCTTATCGAGGAGGCCAAGCATTCCTCCTCCCCCAAAGTCGACCAAACAAAAATACAGCGGCCACAAAAGAGTTAAGAAGAAGAGTCCCAGCCGTCCACCACGGCTGTTTGACGCCGCGCATTTTGAGGCGCGATGTGCGGGGCTCTTTATTTCGCGTCGGCCGGTTTGTGTTTAGGTTGTCTGGTGGTGTTGAGCAAGTAAGAGGCAGTTCCTCGACGAGGCCTCGCGTTCCTGGTACTAATGAGGGTCTTACACGTCTCCCCCGGCCTGCTATCGGAGTGTCTTAGCCGCGCAAATTGGTCACGTTGCAAAAACCAGCGCCGAATGTCGGTGGGACTTCCTGAGTCCATATTTACAAAATCTAATGAAGGTGATCACTTGGTATTTAAACTTAAGTGTTTTTTATTATTTTTTTCTATCTCTCTCTCTCTTCCTTCCTTCCCACTGCTTACCCAACCCACCCATTCCTTCCTTCCTTCTTCCTCTTCCTTTTTTCCTCCATGTCTCTCACCTCCTCCTCCTCCTCCCCCCCCCCTCTCCCCCTTCTCTGGGAGTCGGACTAAACCCGTCTATCAGTAACATGCGGGTTTTTGTTTCACTTGGCAGTCTTTTAATTAGTCGATGATTAAGAGAGTGAGGAAAGAGTTTCACATTCATTAGCGAGGATTGTTGTGCGTGGCGCTCCCGGGCCCGCTGCGGCCCGCTGATAAACACCCAAGACCACAAAAATACCCGATAAAAATCCCGGGTAATGACGAATCCGGGTCTCGAGGTGCCGCTCTCTAGCGCACCCACCTTTGTAACGCTGGAGGCAGAAACGTTTTACCTACAGACGAGGAAACGTTTGGAGGACGGATAGGTAACGTTTGGAGGACGGAGAGGAAACGTTTGGAGGACGGATAGGAAACGTTTCCAGAGTTTATATGTATACACAAATGTATTCACCTAGTTGTATTCACCTAGTTGTGCTTACGAGTGGTTAAGCTCTGCTCTTTCGGCCCGCCTCTCAACTGTCAAAGGAAGCAGCCCGTAGCAGCTGTCTAACTCCCAGGTAACTATTTACTGCTAGGTAACAGGAACATCAGGATGAAGGAAACTGCCCATTGCCGGGATGCCGAGGTCGAACCCTGGTCCCTAGGTCCACGAGTCTAGAGCGCTGTCCACTCAGCCAGCCAGCCCCCTAAATGTGTACTAGGAGCAAAGTTTTCAGTCTGTGAGACGGAGAGATTAAAAGAGGGGAGGAAATCGATATAGACGGCTGCGAGACAACGTTTGACAGACATAGACGTTTGTGTAATTGAGACAACGTTTGAAGAACAGGGAGATATATATATCGTTTCGTAAGACAGAGAAGCACCTTGTCTGAGGTGAGCCCAGAGAGATAAACGTTAGTTATACCGACAAGTAACGTCTTAGGTTGAAACGTTTCGTTTGGCGACGAAGAAAATGTTCTGTTACGGCCAGCATAGTCTGATGGAGTTAGTAGACCAATGTATATATATATATATATATATATATATATATATATATATATATATATATATATATATATATATATATATATATATATATATATATATATGCGAGTGCGTGCGAGCGTGCGCGTATACACGTAGAGCTCTACTGTACTTCCCTAATGACGAACACTTTACCATTGTGAACATTGCCTTAATGTGCTGACGTTGTAATCTTCCCTCCCCACTTCTATCCTTAACTTCTTATGTAGTTTTCCTGGTTGAAATCTAACCATATGTTTTCTCTTCACACAGGTGGGTACAGGCGCAAATGCCTCTTGACTCGTGTCAGCAGCTGGCTGCCAGAGAGGTGTTTCCTCTTCCCGTAGCTCATGGTAAGCCTTATATCCCCCTGGAACACAACCCGGCCATTGGTTTACTTCCAGGCCGCCAAGCACGGGTAGGTGAACAGGGCGAGCAGTGATGGATTTGTTTACAGTCAATCCTCTCCGGGTTTTGCTACTGTGGGAGTTGAGTTTGTGTGTGTCATGTGTGCGGTGTGTCATGTGTCCGGTGTGTCATGTGTGCGGTGTGTCATGTGTGCGGTGTGTCATGTGTGCGGTGTGTCATGTGTGCGGTGTGTCATGTGTGCGGTGTATCATGTGTCCGGTGTGTCATGTGTGCGGTGTGTCATGTGTCCGGTGTGTCATGTGTCCGGTGTATCATGTGTGCGGTGTGTCATGTGTCCGGTGTGTCATGTGTGCGGTGTGTCATGTGTGCGGTGTGTCATGTGTCCGGTGTGCCATGTGTGCGGTGTATCATGTGTGCGGTGTGTCATGTGTGCGGTGTGTCATGTGTCCGGTGTGTCATGTGTACGGTGTGTCATGTGTGCGGTGTGTCATGTGTACGGTGTATCATGTGTACGGTGTATCATGTGTACGGTGTATCATGTGTACGGTGTATCATGTGTACGGTGTATCATGTGTACGGTGTATCATGTACAGTGTATATATACAAATATATGCAGTAGATATGATGGAGGAAATATAGGTCGGGAGTCACTACATTAGGTATATATTTTTTGACAGTGTTTAGCACCGATTGAAAATGAAACAAGAAATTACTTAACGCTAAAGTGTTAATCAACACGATGGGTTGATTAACACAATATTAGACAGCCTAAAACAACTGTCTAACATCTGGGTGAACAGATATGTCAGGTAAGAAAACGATACCAATTTGTTTCTGCCCCGGCCAGGATTTGAACCAGGGGAGCTACGAGTGTCAATAGATGTCGTTCACTGCTAAACTACGGAGCCGTCTTTCTGACCAATTCTCCAGGGCATGCAAGCTTTCCTATAGTATATCCCGGTCTATCTACTATCTACAACTTTATCTTTATCTATCCCGATCTATATAGTCTATCTACTTCACTCGACAACTTTGGGTCGTCCGCAAACAGCAGTCCACCGACCCTCTTTGCTGTGCCAGGTCAGTGACAGGAGCAGAGGGAGCTCCAGTGACAAGCTCTGTGGTTCCCTACTTGTGACCTGTAACTGTGATTACTCCTCTCTCTCTCTCTCTCACTGTTGCCTTCCGTGTTCTGTCCGGGAGGTATTCCCTCACCCACCCCGGCCAGTTTCCAGTAACTCGATCGATGTTTTCAAGTTTGTATAGGAAACTTTTGTGCGGACGGGCTCGAACGCTTTCTGGAAATCGAAGAATACACGGTCAGGCTACCTCTCTCTCTCTCTCCTGTTTTATCAATGTCATTTGGGCATAAAACTTTTAATAGATTCGTTAGACGTGATTTACCTTCACTACAGCCATGTGTGTGTGTGTGTGTGCGTGCGTGTGCGTGTGCGTGTGTGTGTGTGTGCGTGCGTGCGCGCGTGTGTATGTGTACTCGCCTATTTGTGCTTGCGGGGTTTGAGCTCTTTGGTCCCGCCTCTCAACTGTCAGTCAACTGGTGTACAGGTTCCTGAGCCTATTGGGCTCTATCATATCTACACTTGAAACTGTGTATGGAGTTAGCCTTCAGCACATCACTGCCTAATGCATTCCATTTGTCAACTACTCTGACACTAAAAAAGTTTTTTCTAATATATCTGTGGCTCATTTGGGCACTCAGTTTTCACCTGTGTCCCCTTGTGCGTGTACCCTTGGTGTAAAATAAACTGTCTTTATCTACCCTATCAATTCCTTTGAGAATCTTGTATGTGGTGATCATATCCCCCTAACTCTTCTGTCTTCCAGCGACGTGACGTCTAATTCCACACACACACACACACACACACACACACACACACACACACACACACACACACACACACACACACACACACACACACACACACACACACACACACACACACACACACACACACGTCAGTGGCAATAGTTTGTGTAACTTATTGAGTGACAGTAGTATGGAAGCAATGACAAAAAAGTGAGGCAATTGTGTGTACAATTAACTTACAAAAAGTGGCGCAAGTGGAAGATGGGCGGGAAAAAGTGAGCCACTACCTAGTAAGTGCTGCTCACTAGTCGTCTTAGGTTGCCTTAATGACCGTGTCTCGACCCGGCCCCGCGGCTGTGGCGAGCGGCCTCGCCAACCTCCTCACAGAGAGGCCAGTACTGCCACGGGTCCCTGGGCACGAGGACACGCCTTCAGGGCACGGCAGGCAGGTGTGTGAAGGTCTTCAGGGCACGACTGGCAGGTGTGTGAAGATCTTCAGGGCACGACTGGCAGGTGTGTGAAGGTCTTCAGGGCACGACAGGCAGGTGTGTGAAGGTCTTTAGGGCACGACAGGCAGGTGTGTGAAGGTCTTCAGGGCACGACAGGCAGGTGTGTGAAGGTCTTTAGGGCACGACAGGCAGGTGTGTGAAGGTCTTTAGGGCACGACAGGCAGGCGCCTGAGGTCTTCAGGGCACGACAGGCAGGTGTGTGAAGGTCTTTAGGGCACGACAGGCAGGTGTGTGAAGGTCTTCAGCAG